TTGCCCTTGCAGGGAAAAGTGATACAGCAGAGGAGGAGGAAAAGGAAATAAAGTGCATCACAAACAGATAAGAGGGAGATAAGGACCCCACCGCAGAGGCTGCAGAGGATTAGACTGTTGGCTTAAAAAGGCAAGGAAACATCTCAAGGTAGCATTCAAATACCCAAGGCTACAGTCATCTGCAAACACATTCCACATCAGGGCTGACACACAGAAAACCAGAAAAAGTTAGTTTCATGGTTTGACTTCAGTGAGTCTGTCTGTTGACATTTGACCTGATGAAAACATACAATATGTAACCATTACACAGCATAAACCAAGCATGTAGACAGCCCTGCTCTTTAGGTTTTATAGCAACAGAAAGACAAGTGAACAGTGAACATGCTGAAAGCCCCGGGGAGACAGACACGGCAGTCAGATCAATCAATCACAGGGGTTGGTTAGAGAAAATAAGATGCCAATAAAACGTACCAGTACGCAAAAACAAGTGCAAAGCGCATTAAAGCTAAAGAATACACTCAGTATGACATAAATCTCAATAGTATTCACGGCGCCAAAAGCACATTATCTGGATCATGCTTCCATATAACTGCATTAATTATAGCCCTTTTATACAGGAAACCCACGCACGCCACGCTCAACTGAACACGCATTCAACCTGGATTTGACCCATTCATGAGACTGCTGCAACAGGTTAATCCGTCTGCGTCAGTGTGTAGAGACTTGAGCGTGCAACCTGCAGATCCATACACCTCACAACTACATAGAGTACCAGCAGGTGTAACAGTCAGTGTATGCATGCATGTAATGAGTGGGTTAAAGACTGCTCTTTCCAGTAAGCCAGTTTCTTAAACTTTGTGTAAACCATTCACACCCGCGTGAAGAGGATGCAAGTGTTTTAGAAGGTTACAGAAATTGTTGGACACAGACCTGTGATCATCACTGGCTGAGCACAGTGAGGTTGTAGAGCTTGGTGCCATCATGCCTGCATACAGAGGCCTCAGATCACATACAAACATGTGCTTAACCCACACTGGTGAGTCAATATGAAAAGAGTAATAATAACATAAAGCATTAGTAAAGCATTATCAGGCATTATCTTGAACAGAATATTTCTTAATGCTGAGAACTTTAATTTACCTGTAGAGCAATTCATATTTGTCATATTTGATATTTCACAGCTTCTCTCCACAGTGTACCCATCACTGCTTTGCACCAGTGATTTAGGAGGATTCTCCACTTCATTATGAACAGGGTTTGAACAGGTGACGGCAGTTTCTTGCCCTCAACGGTATCGACAATAGGGTTCAAACACAGTTTTATACCACCGGCAGGGCAGTGACCTCTGTGAGCTGTGAAGATACTCTGACAAAAATGTGATTCTTTGCTTCATTGATTGTTATCAAAGCCTCCTCTTTCTGCCGGTCTGTCAAGTGATTCTCAGGAGAAGCAGGAGAAAGTAAAAGCTGCCTCCTCTGTCTCTACTGGGAAAATTAAAACACCCATCTCTTACTTCCTCCATCCCCCTCTTTTTCTAAACGGTAATGTAGTCACTGTTATTTTTCACTTAAAGCAATAGTTAACTTACAGTGCTGTCATTGTTCTTCCATCTCAATTTACTGTGAGTGCATTATTCCATGAATGAAACATTCAAAATGAGGTAACTTTATCTCACCAATCAGTACATCGAGTGTAGAATATTATAGTATTCCCCACTGTGAGTGCTTGAATGGCTGCTTCCCTATTGATCTCTTAGAAATAGTGAGGAGCTTCAATCACAAAGATGAATAGCACGGGGAGGTCAGACAATTAGGTCAGCACTGTAATGTTATATTCTGTTTCCCCCCAGTACCGAGGCTACTCTGAAACAGGCCACAGTGAGTATGATGAGGCATACTGAGAGGGATTTTTTTCCTCTGCTCCACCTTAAACATTGCAACAATAGATATGCACATACTTGATGGAGTGGACTACCTCCAAAGTTTGTTGCATTTCTTCAGGATTTCAATATTCTTCTTGACAACCTCGTGGAGGACGTTTTTATGAGGTCTTGCTGACCTCAGCTGGAGTCATAAATGTGTCCTTGGTTAAATGTCTCCAGTCTAGACTATAATAACTAATAAATACATGTTATCATTTACATGGTTGTAAGAGCATTAGTTTAAGTAAGTAACCATTGAGAGTCTTTACTTGTGCAAACAGCTATGGCTTATGCTGAAGCGAGTTTGCAGCCCTGTGTTGGGCCTTTTGGGTAATGTTGCATCGCAAGTTTCGTACAAATCAAATCAGACTTCCTTCTCAACTTCATTCATCTGTATTTAAACCATACACATTTGATTGGTGGAGCTGCCTGAGAGGCTCAGTTCAGGGCAGAAAAAACATGCTAACCTAATCAACTTTTTACTGATTTACACAACTCTATCAAGGAATTTGTGTATTAAAAAATGGTAAAAACTGATTTTCACATGGAATTGTTGTTCCTTGCATGTAAAGGTTATGTTGCCTGCAGAATAAAGACACTATTTGCTGGAGCTTACACAAAATGTGGTTATCTGAGGCAAACACATCTACATCTGGAAAAAAGTGAGGAGTAAGAAGAAATGATTGTGTATTTGTGCTCTAGTGGGTATTTTATGATCCATTTTTCACCAAAGTTTTTTATTATTAATTTGCATTTTCTAAATATTTCAAATAATACTGATTAATTACCTTAAAATAACCAGACTATTATAACATGCACAGCAACTACATGGTTCTTTAGATTTTTTTTTTTCCCAAGAGATTAACATCAGACCAATGAGTACAACATAAACCCTCAGAGTGGGAGAGGGTGCATTAACCTTTTAGTGGTTTTGCATATTGATCCTTTGGAAATCTGAGTTAAGTTCGGTTCAGAAATCAAACCCTTTAAAAAAAAAAAATAAATAAAAAAAAACCCACCTTAGGTTTATGTAGAAATCTGGCAAATCGCATGATTGATGCTAGCAGTGGTATAATCACGTACTGCTCACCTGTTCCTCTCTGCTATAAATACTGTCCTTTTTTTCCTTGATCACTTCAAAAACAGAAACAGCTATTTGACTGGTCACACTGGTTATGAATCATAAATTTGTCATGTGGCAAATTATAACAATAGTGAGTTAATAATGTCCTTTGATGGAGCAGGTAAGCTAAGATCTGAGAGTATAATCGCTCAAAAGGGGATTTCACTTTTACTCAGCCTCAGGGATTTTGGTTATACTGTGAAACACCTTGGCCAGACCTTCTCTCTCTCTCACTGTGCTGTACATACCGTCTTATAACACACTCCCACATTCACACAGCAAAACTGTCCTCGCGTAGGGAGCTTGCTACAGACCCAGTAACCATCATTAAAACACAGTGTAAACCCATATTGATGCAGCGGGAGAAAAAAAAATCTACTACATATCCACATCAGCACTTTGGATTTACTTGGAAAAATGGCCCAGAATTCAAATTCAAGTTTGTGAAATCACAACAGTCGCCCTCCTATTTGTTTACAGACATACAGACACATCCTATATTGCATGTGCAAGTCCAGACTGAACTACTTTTACATCTGATCTTGATAGGTGTTGAAATTTCAGTGAAAAACTGACCATCGCAGATTGCATGACCTGAGTAGATCCGGGGCAATACAGTCAGCCTCCATTAGCGTACCTCTACCTCTTATTTTCAACATCCTCTCTAAAGTGCATATCCAATAAGGGGACAAATGCATCCAGCATACTACAGTTGTGCAACAGTGGTCAATCTACTAAACCATCTATTTGTCCAAGCTTTTCCTATTTCATTACCTCTTTCGGCTTTCTTAACACCAAGCAGAGCAATGGCTTGCAGTCACGATCTTACTCCCAAGTCTCCCCTACCTTGGGATCATGATTGGAGGATATTGTAGCATTTGTCACATCTTTAAAAAAAAAAAAAAAAAGAGTAAACACTGTCATTTTTGAACAAAGTAAGTGTTCAGAAGAGGAGAAGCTGCGGTACTCTATACTGATGGAAAATGTTGACAATTTTGGGTGACAAACTTCCCACTAGTCTGCAAACAGCAGAAGTAGTAATCTGTCTTCACATCTCTCTTGTAAATACAGTATACCTTTAATTGTTCATACACTGACGTCATATGTGTCAATGCTGGTTTCAGAGCTGTTGCATAACTCCTCTACCACTAACCGGGAATTCTATTGAGAACGTCACAAAAGACAGCCATGGTGTTTGGCCTTGGAGCCAGTGGATGAAGAGCAAGTCTGCCAAAGTGACTACTTCATTAGCCATTATCAAAGAGCAATTCTAATGTCACGTTGGGAAGGGTGTCGAGGCGCAACTGAAGACTGACTTGCTGTGAGCAAGTCTGTCAGGTCTCAAGTTCTCATGTTAGAAGAGAAGAGAAGAGAAGAGAAGAGTTTGAGTTCGGTGTCACTGTAGATCCATAGCTATGCATCAATCTACTTTGGCTTCCTACTTTGGCCTCGAAAAAGATGAATATTTTATACAGAACAAATAAAATAAACTGCAGAAGTATTGCATACATAATAAAATGACCTCCTCGTCTTTGGCATGCTGCTGCATAAAAAACACATCACATACATAGACATGCAAACATGCTCTCACACACACACACACACACACACACACACACACGCACACAAGCACACACGCGTGCGGGCACTACAAAGTGTGACCTTCAGGTTTGATCATCTGCAATGCAGTGATTAGTTTTATTGGTGTGGAAGCAGACTGCATTGATAAGACTTCACATCATTTCCATGTGCTTCTTTTATATGTCGCAGATCACTCATGTCAGTCACACTCAAATCTATGCTTCAATGATGTTATCAAGAAAACAATATGTCCTGTGTTTAACCTGTCTACTCTCATGACAGGTGGAACTTAATCCCATTTTAAAAAGGACAACAGGTTTAATTATTGTGGACTTTTGTTAGGACTCGCTCGCCAAGCTCTCTGCTGGGACTCACCATGCTCTCCTTCAGCTTTTAACGCCTTTCGTACACGCCGTTCCACGATCTTAGCAAAAGATGTTGCTTCCATATCTGGCTGCAAAATTCTACAGTCTATTTGTAGCTGAGCTTTGTCTCAGTTCTTAAACAACAGATTTAACAGAATTTAGAGTAAATACACCCTTTATTCCACTGCTGCTCAACTTTTCATACCCCTGACACAATGTCCCACCGAGCTTGACACAACCTTTTTAACCTGATCACACGAGCACGGCCACCTTCTCACACATATACACATGCACGCATACCTTGCCTGTCACCCACTTGTGAAGACCTCCGCCACCGTCTCCCCCACCAGAACCTTCCAACATGCAGATAAGCATATCCAACAGATACCGCTGACACTTTCTCAGCTGGCTGAAGGTAACCTACCAGAAATGTCAAGTGCTGTCATGTCATGGCTAAATGGTGTTGGTGAAATGGCAAAGTTATGAGCTGCCAGTGTGGCATGTGATCGCAAGTGAGACAGTGCAATGCAATTGAGCCCCCAAAAGAAAAGGTCTCTAAAAAAAATGCAGCTGGTGACTTTAGCAACGTGTTGTTTTGTACTGAAGTGTTTCAGCTTCCACTCTGTCCCCTGGTGCTTTATCTGTGAGGTCTCTGACACACTGTACCTGAGTGCTTCACCGTCTCCAGCCCAGTGTGTATAACTGGAAACAACTGGCCTTTCTGTGCAGAGAGCCGAGCACTCACCATCACAAACAGGTTACTTAGTCACTGCCCATCCCATTATTTCTCCCTCTCTCACCCTCTTTCCCCCTCTCTCTATCGCTGTGTCTGTATAAAGGACAACAGCTACAAGCAGACCAGCCTAAAACTGTGGGAATTGAACTTCAAGACAGGGAAGGAAAATGAGAACTTCTGAAAGGTCATCATAAAAATGTTGACAAAGCTGTGTAAGTGGCCAGGAAGAAAAAAAGAAAAGAAAAAAAGAAGGAAGGCAACAAAGTGCTGGGCTTGCCGGGTGTGATGAATGAGACGGAAGCTCTGGGGCTACTGCCATTTTTTTTTTTCTTTTTACAGCAAAACTGTCTGGAAGTGTTCCACTGCTCCCAAACAATGTACACAAAAATGAATGCATACAGAGAGAGAGAGACAGAGAGAGAGAGAGAGAGAGAGAGAGAGAGAGAGATAGAGACAGAGAGAGAGAGAGAGGGAGAGAGAGACGGAGAGAGCAGGGGAAAGACAGAGGCAGCAGCAGCACAATACTGCCTGCTGCACTGCAGCAAAAATCTACACAGCATACCGTAGCCACCACACAACCTCCAGCACTGCACAGAACAGACCCCTGTATGGAGGGAGGAGTGATGGAGGCAGACGGAGGGAGACAATGTGTGTGAAACTGGAGAAGATTGAACGACAGAAGCAGACAGCAAAATGTTTTTTGTTTATATGTTAATATTCAACAAATTATAATTGGGTCATTTTCCACTTTTAGTCTGGATTTTAAAAAGAGAAACACAATATGAACACCTGTAAGCCAGTGGGCTCCGGCTCCTGCTGTTAAAAAGCTTTGTGTTGACAAGAAGATGGAGAGATTTCCCATTAACTATGAGGATGAGCTACTGTAAGGAGGCATTCAGAGCGAAGAAAGACATGCAAGGGAGTGACATATGGGGCTGGGAGGGGGGAATTAAATATGATCCATGAAGTCCTGTTTCAGCAATAGATCCGTCAGTTCGGAGGCTTATCTGATGCCAAAACACAGAACAGCGTTTTATGATATTATGAGGAAGGATTTTGCTGCTTAAAGATCTTGATCACGAGGTAAACAGTACAAATGTGCTGTTATAAAAGTTACAGATATAATAGCAATGTGTGGTTTAACCCCAGCACTGTGCCAGAGGACGCTGCACTGTGGACCGGCAAAAGTTGAGCCAGGTGCAACTTTTTTTTTTTGCCAGAAAACCCTGCACCTCTGCTGCATCAACAGTCTGGCCCCATTCAAATGAATGAGAAGGTTTCATTTTTTCACACATGGCTAAAGTCGGTCTGAACGTGATACTGCAGTACCCATAAGCACACTGAATAGTACACAGCCTCAGCAGAGGCTTCGCAATAACTGAACCAACCAGATTATAGCAAAGGAAAACATCAACTAATGAGCATCTAAAACTTATAGTGAACTTCAGAGCAATTTAGCACTGAACAGACAAGTCATGCCAAGTGACTGATTATCTGGGCACCGTGAGTGGTGAGAAATGTACCACAACCTGGACAAACCTGGCAACCCAGACAAAACAGAACCAATTCTGCCAACAGCAAGAGGTAGAGAAAAAGCAGGACAGCAGAACTGCAGAACTGCAGCCTGTACTAAGAAATAAGAACCACCTTCTCTACCACAATAAAACCTAAATACCAAGAACGCAACACACTCCCAAACCAAAACAAAATCCAATATTTAATGGGGGCAAAAAGTGACGTAGCCATGGAAGCAGCAAAATACAGGGTGTCAGAGCAGGTCACAGCCTGAGAGGAAACCAGCAGAACAACACATTAAAATATACTGTTTATACTGTTGTACGGTTCTCACTGTTTCAAGACCACAAACTGTTCTCCTTTCATGGCTGTGCAAACCATTTGTCTTTTCTTTTTTTTTTTTTAAACATTCTGAATTATTACATTACATTATTAATATTGTAAACCTTGAACAACATGCCTTGGTAACATTGTACTTTATTGTGGTAATGCAAATAAGAATTTAGAAAAGATGAGAGAGAGAGAAGAAGAGAGAGAAGAAGAGAGAGAGAAATAGAGAGCATCCTGCTCAGCTTCCATCAGCAGGGCGCACAGTCAGATGATGGACAACAGTAATAAATGAGCTACAGGCCAACAGTGAGTCATGAAATCATATCAGCAATCAATCATAATCAAGTCATTGAAATGTACTTCCAGCACAGGACAGAAGCGGACCCAGCCGACCTCACTCTGTGTTTCCCTCCAACAGTCCTCATTGCTCTAAAACAGTAGAGCAGCAAGCCATCACTTTAGCAGTGTGCCTCTGGCTGTATGATTTGTAGTAACACGTACTGTGGCTCAATAACAAACACAAACACACGCACACACACACACACATATTCACACACACAGTGGTATGTTCAGCTTGGTGTGTTTGATAAAGGTTAAAAATGCTACATTCCTGTCATCAGAGCCACAGGGAACGTGGCCCATCCGCCTCGTTGTATAGCATCCGCAACATGCTAATGCGACTGCATCATTTCCCGCTCCTAGATGATGGCCTGCAAACAATATTAGTAATAATGCGCGGACTCACCCAGCAGACTCTGTCAGCCCTTTAACCCTTCAGCTGCTGGGCCAAATCTTTTTGTCTGTATCAAAATTACAATATTGAAAGCTACCAATTTTCATGAATGTTGATTTCTTATTATACCACTGTGCCCTTTTCTGTGTTTTGCCATTATTTGATTCCTAAAATCCACTTCAGTTGTTCATCAGCAACATTTTCTACAATGCTTGTTTATTTTCTGTTGGATTTATTATTTCATCTCATCTGCATCTTACATTTGGTGTTTCCATCCTGTGTACCTGCTGTGCATCATGCTCTCTGAATCCGAGACTGTTCATGATCCTCAAAGAGTATTATCTTCAGGTTTAAGAATGTTACAACGGGATAACTTGTATCATTATGTCTATTCATTCCTGTTTACATTTCTTTTTTTAAAACTTTAAAATCAACTGTAACTGTGCTAGAATTTAGGATTTTTGATTTCCTACTGTAGGTATCATTGAGGGAATATATAAAATTCAAAGATGAACTCATTTTCTCACATATTCTTAAAAGATAAATGGCTTGTCTAACAAACAACACTGAAATTTACATAAACATAATGTCATTGATTTCATAATACCATAAATATTCTAATGTATGTAGTGTTTGCATACATTTACATCAACAGTCCACAGCCATGGAAGATAAATAAGCATGTATGTACTTCAGCAAAAGAGGGTCCAGCTGTAATGCAGCTGGTTACAATTTATCTTGTTCATGTTACAGTATTATATTATATTATATTATATTATATTATATTATATTTTTAAACTATTTTTCTACATTCCTGGATAGACATCTGTATCAGCTGCACAGTAGTGCATGTTACTGTTGACATGACTCAAAATAAACTGGTGAACCTGAAGGGTTCTGGTGTGATCATCTTGCAGTAGAAGCTGATCCATTAGAACAACATCCACTCCTGGAACAATGCCAAGGGCTTCGGTGCGCTATACATAGTCAAAGGAAACAAAACTGAAATAGCTGTAGATACACTTGTATTATGTTAAATTGTTTGTTTTCAACACCAGCGTAAATCAATGTTACTGTGTTATAGTAATACATATATCTCAAAGTTATAAAACCACAACATTTCTTTGGGTTGGATCCAGATCTGGGATAACAGTGGAGTGGAGAGGAGGGGGAGGGAAGGAGAGGACTATAGACTGCAGCATGATGATTGGAATAGAAGCAAAAGAACTACATAAAAACAAATGTGTGAGACAGCTTATGTCTGAGAAAATAAGGTGAAAGAGAGATGTGGGGTGAGGCATCAGAAATCAGAACGTTTAATAAATGGTGAATGGACAAAGTCGGCCTGCTCTTTATAGAATTGGTATTTTAAATCAGTGAGTCTTTTCAATATAGCAAAACCTCTTTCTTCTAGTCACTTATGGCCCCTCATATAAACAACCATACCTTTGCAGTTTCTCAGATTGTGTTATGTTGACATGTGCGGCTGAAATTATAGCCCTCCAGGGTTTCTTTCAGCAGTAAATACTCGCTGTAAAAACATCTCCACTACAATCATGTCAGCTTTCGGTCTAAACAGGAAATGCCAGTGGAAGAGAGGATTGTTTAAGACTTAGGTTGTTACTACAGGGTGAAAGGTGTTGCCTCTGACTGGAGGGGAAGGGTTACAGTAAGAGCACACAAGGAGGACGAGGAGGAAAACTGCGCTGGTATCAATATCAATATTTTACATTTGTCAGAGTCATACAAAAGTGCCTGGATGTTTTGCTACAGTTTCAGTACAAATGAATAAACAAGACTGTAACTTCACTGAAACATTGGTTCTAACAAAAATGATGTTCAAACACTAATAGCAGCAACAACTGAGTCGGAGTCAGGAAGTGATCAGGCCCGTGTTCATCAAA